TTCCAAAGCAGAAAAGTCCAGGAATGGGGGAGCCACACTTTCACCTGAGCAGGTCTGTTACATATGGACACTGGTGAGTTCTTGTTGGGTTCACCCTGGCTCAGGTCTCCAAGGCTGGCCATGATAGATTGAAGGCAGCCCCTGCCACTCTTGAGTACCTCTAGCAATAGATTTTTGGTTTTAAGACTCACACTTCTTTGAAAAAAAGTTAAAAACACATGCAGGAGTGGTGTGGATGAGGACATCACCAAGACACTGCTCTGTGCCCATGGCTTTACCTTTCCATGTACATATTTGACAGCTCCTTCCAAGAATTTTAACTTGGTGAATTTCTTCCCTTTCCCTAATTTGTAAGCCTGAACTGGATATTCAGGATTCATTCCTTTATTGCAATCCCCTGATTGTATCTAAATTATATCAATGAACAGAGCTTTTCCGTCTCCAGTGCTTCCATCTACCCTTCTGGTGTTTCAATCTTAAGTACTTTGGGTCAAGCACTGATTTTTGGGTCCCCTTGATCCATGGGTTGTGTGCTCTGGGACGTTTCTGAGTGTTTCTGCAATACAACCAATGTACAAGCAGCATCACAGTTTCCAGAGCAGTTGCTGAGATGTCTGCAAGATATCCATGATCAGATTTGCACCTGGGATCAGGAGGGTGAGTGGAACATCACAAACGGCTGATGCTCTTGTCCTGTCTGCATGTGAGATCCATGTTGTGGGCTCCTTGCACCAGAAATTGGCTTCTCCAGGGACTCTGACAGTTACAAAAAATTCTGTTTTATAAAGGGGAGGTTGATGAGGAGCTGGGGTTGGAAACCACGTGTTAATGGTTAATGTCATCCATTTATGAAATCTTGTTAGAAGGCTCCACAAGTTTTTTAGGCTTTTCCAATCATGCCCAGCAATCCCAGATGCCCACTCTGCCTAGGTACAAAAATCAAGGGACTGTACAGCTGAATGACACCCATCTTATGATCCAGGCCTTCAGTCTCTGATGGAAGGCAATGAATAAAAAAAACCTAGCATCATTATTACCTATGCCTTCCTAAGATAAATCTGTTTACCTGCAAAACAGATGCATTAAAAACCAATCAGCCAATAGAAGTAATTAGTTACAGGGTAGGCATGTGATTTGCTCAGCCTCTGGAACGGGGTAATGTCTTGCTTAGCTTGAACTCCTTGCTGATGGATGCTTGGTGAAAGGTCTTGGAGACGATGTACTCAGCTAACCGCTGGGGAGACAGAAAATGATTACTACAGAGAGACATTGCTCAAGTCAGCTCTGCGAGAAATTCATCACCAGCAGCATTGGCACCACACATGAGCAGCAGCGTATGGAAACTGAACTGTAAAAAGTAACAAAATCAGTGAACTAAGGGAACACTGCATACCGTGAACGTGAGGGAATGCATCGTTTCCCAGAGGGAGAAACGTTCCTATTTAGCAGGCTTTTGTTTTGTTACAGGAAACACTTGGATTGGGGATTTAGCTGTGAACACAGAGCCTTTGTTTTCTGGGAACAAAGGGAACCCAACCAACACAGGTTATTAATGGGTAAACTTTCTATGCTGAGCTGGTAGGTGAAGCCTTGGGCTTGCTATAAAACACACAGAACTGGTTTTTTGTGCCTAAAATCCCCAAAACAGCCCAAAACAGCAGGCATTAGAGGTAAATTTATCGCTCATGTCTGCTTAGTGGCCACAAGACCACCCTAAAATAAAGCCAAGACCAAGAGGGGCTGCTGCAAAGGCTGCTGCCCCCTCCCCAACCGTAGCAAGATGCTCTTGATAAACCTTCAAAAGACATCAATGTTGTCTTTAGTCTGCTGTGAGTCCTCCTGGGAAAATCCCCCTGCATGGAAAGTGGAACTGGGGTCTCCTCTGCCCCAAAGGCTTCCTGTGAGCCCTTTAACTGAAGGGTGGAGCACAGCAACCTTCAGAGGCTCAGGAACACCCCACAATTTAACAGCAGCCCTCGTTGTTTACAAGCAGCTTGGCACATCTGGAACGAGAGAGAAGATGCCTTGACTTCAGCTAAATGAAGGGACTGATCTCATCCTACCAGAAGGAGAAGGGTAACAATAAAACAATTCCACAAGCGTCCCTTGCGATGACAGGACCAGTAGAATTTTTCCAGTCCTGCTGGCAAACAGTAGAAGGCAAAAGTCTTGTGGAGACAGAAGGAATAAAAACAAAATGTCTTGCAGGAGGCTAGAAAACTTTCCCAAAGCATTTTTCTTTAAACTTAACCACATGATTTACAAGCTTATTATTAGTTTCCCCTCTTCCTTACATAAAAAGAGAAATTAAAAAAGTGTAGATTAACACATTTTTGGAAATCTTCCAAGCTCTCAATTCCTCTGCTTAAAGGATTATTTTGACAAATCAAAAATCACTTTTTGGGTGGCCTGGAGAGACTCAGATTTGCTCTCTCTCTGTAGCAGAAATGATCCCTTCTCAGAGGTGCTTACTTGCGCCTCTCAGACAAATAACAGAGAGAAACCCAGTCCAGCTTCTGATCTAACTGTAATACAATACTGGCTGCTGATTCCAGGGAATTTTTTCCAGATTGGTCAGGCTGGGGACTGTGTTAGGTACCTTAATCTCTACCTAGTCACTACTCAGGAGATACTAGAGGTTCTTCAGTGAAAACAGAGCCTTGGGAGCTGCTACAAGGCCATTTCACCTGGGTCATGAGAGCAGAAAATGCTCCTGAGCAGGTACTGACTGACATTGTGGGTAAGGGCACAGGAACTGGGCTGTCTGCTAGAACTCCCTGGTGTCACCCATCTTTGTGGCACCCAGATGGACACCAGAATGCCACATCCATGGGATGTGCTGGCTTTCTCACTGGGATGTGGCTGCAGCTCATGCTCTGGCCCTGCCACAGTGATCATCCTGCATCTGACAAGAATTCCTTATGGCCTCTAAGCATAATGACCACACTGAAGGATCACAATGCATATTGGAAAGGTAAATGGATTAGCAAAAAAAGTGCCCAGAGAAGTTCAGAGAGGCAGTTTAAGAGCAAACCAAACCACTGTGAAAGAAACAATTGTCCTGGAATAGAAAAAAGAGTTATATATAAGTTATACATAAGTTATATATATATATTCACTTAAAGACAATCTTTGTAAACAGGTTGAAAAAGACTAGGAGGCTGGAGGAACAGATGGGAAAATGGAACAAACAGATGGAAAAACTCTATTTCTGAAAAAAAATATATATATTTGTAAAGCTATAGCTACTTTGAATGTTTCAAGGTTAGGAAGCTGAGGCATCAGGAAATTTATAACAAGGCCATAAATTCATCCATCTGAGATCAGCAGGATGGTAAGTCTTTTAGACAGGTGAGTAAGGTGTCATTTGTATTATTTATCCATACTTATTGCCACCATCCTCAGGGATACTTTGCTCCCCTTTAAGGCCATATCTTATTCACTCTAGAGTTAAAAATTATCTTTCAGCTTTTCATTAACCATAGCTGGCTAATATATTAAAAGAAAAGGAGAAAGTTCACCTTGCTTTCTGCCATCTAATCACAGGGGAAAAAGGGGCTTGAGCTCACCAGCACTGTTAGAAAAGTCGTACAGACAAGAAGGGGACAAGGAGTGAGCACCATTGCTCTCCAAGTTGATGGGTAAGCAAAGGCATCTTCATTAAATGCCTTCTACCCACCTAGCTGTTCTTGAACAGCTCTCTGAGTAGTTTTAGAGGGGATGATCAAGAGAAAAAGTGGGAGGAATGGTTTGATGAAACTTCTCTTGCAGCAACCAAGCTGCAGTGCTTGGGGTGAGACAGCCTTGCAGGAAAATGTGTCTTGTGTTTTAGTCAAAGAACCACCACCTGCAGAGAAAAATCCAGCCCAAGCCACACATGGTGTTCCTTAGTGAAGAAGGGTGAGATACAGAAAAAACATTTCCAGCCACGGACCAGATGTGCAGAAACTCTCCCTGGAGTAAATGAATTCAGCAATCTCCGAGCAGTGCTGGGATAAGCAAAAAAACCTGCATTACAAAAAGGATAAGTTGCTCCAAGGACTAGAGAGATGGTGGTTTGGGCTGGACAGTGTTAATAGGTGCTGGTTTATGGTGTTGGCTCCAATCCCTCTGAATCACAGCTTCACAGCTGTGAGAAGGGACAGTAGAAGTGCTCCAGCTCACTGGGGAGATGCGAAGATTGAATTTTTAACTGTGTGCAGTCAGCAGCATGGAGGTAAAAAAAGGATGTTTGCTTTCAACACAGGTCTGGGATGGGGATAGAGGGGTGGGAACCCAGCTGCCAAGGGTGTTTTGTTGTCTCCCTTATTTCAGGTCATTTCTTTTAAGTCGGTGCAGGGCTTTTAAGGACTGTGTCCCATATCTGGGTCTTAGCAGATTTGCCCACATGTTTTCCTGTGTGTGTCTCTGGGACTCATAAAAGCGTCTTTAGCGCTCAAGTAAGTTCCCCTTTGAGAAGGGACTGTCAAAGACAGGCACTAATGTCATTAGGAGGTTACAAGGGGGAAACAAGAGAGAATTTGCTACAGATCCTCATTTCCATAATCTTGCCTTGGCTTCCTCATTTGTCAGTTCTTAACCTCAATTCCTTAACCTCCAAATCTGTGGAGTCGTTGACCTTGGGGATTTGTCTTCAAACTGATTTCAAGTTTTAGGCAATCTAAATTAGGCTTCCCGTGACAGAAGACAAAACTTGGTCTTTCACCCAAATGTGAAAGACAGGCCCAGAGTGCAAGTGAAATCTTGCAATCATTTTTTCAAACCATCTGCCCATCTGCAGTCCCAGAACAATATCAGTTCGGTGCTGCCTTCCCTCTCTCTCTCTCAGGAATAAAGAAATTACCATAAACAAAGCAGATCAAGGGTCTTTTAAAGCCAAATGCAGCCAAGACACATTGCTTCAGAAAGAAGCAGGAGAGGAAAAAAGAGCTGCAGGGGAAGTTTCTTCCTAATTCTCATTAACTCTAGTTTGGCCAGTGATGCTGGACACTGCAGTGTAATTTGGAGGGGATGGTGCTGTGTCCCTCTCCATGGGCACTCAATTTCCAAGATATTTCTGTGGCAAACAAAAGTGATCACCACAGGAAAAAAAAAGGAAAAAAGACTGCAGAACTGCTCCTTAAAAGTGCTCCCTAACTGTGCAAAGGAGGGAGAATACAAGAAAACAGGGAAATTAGTCTGGACACAAAGAGCCTTTTGGTCTCTCAGACCATTTCTGCGTTGCACATGGCAGTCAATCCCCTGCCTGAATCACGCTCTTTATTTCAGGGAGTGAAGCCGTTGTGAGAAGATGCATTTATTTCCAAGAGTGTGCTCTGAGTTAGAGAGGCTGCAGCAAGCTGGCAGGGCAGCTTGGCACGAGGATTTTCTGGAGCAGCAGGTAGAGATGAACAACAGGAGCTGGACCAGTCCCTGCATGACGGGGAAACAGGGGAGGCAGAGAGATTAAATAATTCAGTGTGTGTTGATGTGATGCATGGAAAAGTACCGCCAGAAGTCACAAAGCTAAATGCCTGGGTACCTCTCCAATGGATCAGAGAGCAGGTTTGGGGGGAAAAGGGAGGGAAACAGGCACATCCGTGCTGGGGAGCAGCTTGTGCAGTGGTGGCTGCAGAGAGGCTGCCCCTGAGGTGCCGAGAGGGGGAAGGAGATCTGCGGGAGCCTCAGCCTCATTATTTTTATGTTCAGCTGCCTAATTACTACGTGTCAGCTGTCTGTTGGAAGGAACGATGTACTGCAGCCTCTCGTTTGGGAATTTATAGTGATTAATGGGCCTGGAGGGAATGACTAACGAGGAAATGTTAGAATTAGTAAATATGCATCACCGTGCAATGAGTAAAGTAAGGGACGTGACAAATGAGCCCAAGTATGTGAAAGATGTAAATGTTGCAGAGGGACAACCTTTGGGATGTCCTGGGGACCCACAGAAACTGAGAGGAACAGGAGGGTGGGAGCAGCACAGGTGTGATCCCGTGGGGAGACAACAAACCAAGTAAGAAAGGCTCTCCAAAGCTTTCCAAGCAGTCTTAGGCAGACTTGGAGGAACAAACTCGCTCTGGCAGGACTGCAGCAGGATGGAAAGCTGTTTCCCTGTCTGTTGTGTCCTGTGGAGCACAGCAAGGAGCACTGGTGTCATGGCCACGTGCTGGGCAATCACCACAATCTGTCCTGCACCAGGACCCGTGTCTTTGAAGATATTTAGGTACTGCAAGACCCAAATCACTTAGTTTATCC